TGTTACAACTGTGAGTTGAGATGGAGTCCCTCGACTTCCAACCACTCCACTCACGAGGCGACAGCCAACATTTCAGTTACTGCAGTCTACTTGTGAGGAGCAGCTGTCCAGAGTACATGTGGGCAATCTCACAATCTCTCCTTTTTTCAGAGAGATTTTAGTGGCCAGAACTCACCTTCTGGTCCCTGATCTCTGCCACAGCACTGTCCCTGCTTCTTCAAGGATGTCTAGCTCACCATGTTCTTACCAGAAGTCTCAACCCTGCAAGGCATTTGGAAACCAATTAAGGTCCGGCTGTATCAAAAAGAGTGATATGTTTCTGATCTTTTGTGCAGTGAGAGGGATGTTGATCACTGCTCTGAGCTCTTGATGCTGTCAGAGATTATGTCCTTACCTTATTTTGCTTTTGTTTTAATCGTGTTATTGGGTATGGAGTGTAAGCTGCTCAGGGTTGAATGGAATTGGAGCATCATATAAGTCTTAGTGAGTAAGAAAATGAAATTTGAATTGGTAGAGTAATTTAGGAACACAGTGAAACTAGTCATCGGCCAAAACAGATGCTAATGCTTTGTACCAGAAGGCCCAGCATTTCATACATTGCTTAATCAGAAATAAAAAGGTCAATATTCTTTAATGGGAGCCATCAGACAACTGATATGGTTTCTTCTACGTGTTCCACATCTTCTGTGAGACCTATGAGGTGTTCTCTTTTAGCACTGGCTGCCTTCAGTTGTTTCCTCTAAATCCTGCAGATGGTTTTGAAGTGGAAATTATAGTTGAGACTAGGACTAACTGAAACTGAGAGATCAGGACAAATTAACACAACAGTTCCAAACAGATAAAATACTCCATAATTTAAACATAATTTATTGTTTTATCATTACATAATATGCTGATACAAATGGATTATACCCTTAAACATTACTATTGAACTTCATCCCTGAGTGAATACAGTGGTGCATTTCAAGCAAATTTGTCCTTTACAAAATAATTCAATTGCAAATTCATGTACCCCTTCATTGGAGTGGATTGATTTGGGGGAAGATGACTTTGTGATTTTATACAGAAGTATGTTATATTGGCTCTGAAGAAAATGTACCTTTTACGTCAGAGCTCATCAGAGAACAGTTCTGCTACAGGCATCTAAACTCTCAT